TGGTGATTTACTGGAAGAGGAAAGCATCAAGGGTGACCTCCAGTTGCTGGCCTGGGGGATGGGCTGGCTGGGGAGCCATCAACGGAGGTGAAGCCTACAGGAGCAGCAGGTTTAGGGGATAATGACAGAGTCTATTCTAAATATGAGCTATGAGGTGCCCAAGTAGAGGTAGATGCAGCAGTGACACTTAGGAAGAAGTTGTGGGCTGGAGGTACAGATTTGAGAGTCATCAACACACAGAGAGGTGATAGCTGAAAGCAACAGCCAGGTGCAGCCATTCAGGGAGAATGTGCAACTTGAGTGGGAGAAGCAGCAAACCGAGGGAGCACCGTGTAACATTCCAAAATTTGGGGGCAGATAGGGGAGGGGTAACCCATGAAGAAGACAAAGAAGAAACAGTTTAAGGAGAGACAGAACCAGAAGTCCGGTGTCCAGAAACTGAGGACAGAGAGGGCTTCAGGCAGGGAGCAATGACCAATGCTAAACAAAACAAAGAGAAACCAAGAGGTTCAAAAAGAAAATAAGAGAACCACCTGGCTGAGCGTTTGAAGGAGGGAGGTGTCAGCAGAGCAGTGGGAACCAGTCATTTAGGGAAGACACCTAGAAAGGCATGTTTACTCAGGAAGTGCTGTTTGTTTGTTTTCATTGGGAGAGACTGAACTCCTTTATATTTATAAAGGAGAGGCCAATAGAGAGAAAAACCTGCAAATACAGGATTAATGGAGTGAGATCCAAATCTAACATGAGTTTCATGGCTTACTGTAGGCTTTTGAAGTCCTCTAATTACTCGTAATTTGAAAGCCAGAGGAAATCAACAGAGTGTGGATGTGTGTACACGAACATGATAATGACTGATATACTTTACTATCTATACCTCAGATTATGGCAATTTGATTATTGCATTTACTTGACTCCTTATGTCATTACTGCAATTAAAAGTGGTCATCAAAATACACGGGTACAACAGATGATATTGTTCATGACAATGAACCGTAAACTCAGAGGGGAAGCCTTCTACAGTTTGTTTGTGGGGTGAGGGCCCACACTGCTCCTTCTCGGAACCCAAACTTCCTTTCCCCAGTCAGCAATTGAGTGGAACGCTTTTTCCCAGGAAACACAAGCCAAATAATTTCTTTAGAAAATACAGTTCTAATTCCAAAATAGGACATAGTTATCCTGATTAGACCTGACAGCTCCCGGGAAGACATTTTCCTCAGATCTGCTCTCTGTTGGGCCTGGGTAAAGGAAAGAGCCCAGAACCATCTTCAGCAACTGGGGTGACGACATGACTCTGGGGAACTGTGAATGAGGTACCCGGGGGAGTCCCTCATTAGCTGAAGGACATGTCGAATGTGTGCAGCACTCTGTAAACTGTTAATACTATTAAGTGTAGCGGCTTTCCCAACGTGGACTTCATAAGACGGCACAGGGCTAAGAGGCGAAGGCTGTTATGAAGAGCCCAATAAGGCCTCGGTGACCTTTGCTTTCTGCCCAGAGCCATTTTCTTAGTTAGAGAGTTGTGTTCAGTTCTCCAGTCTACCATCCTGGGTTGAGAGACACGGATTAGAAGGGGTGTGGGGAGAATGGGGCATGAAAAAAGTACCCGGTGAAGAACAAGCAGGTGCGAGCCTCTGTTTGTCACAGGAAGCTTTGTGATCTTGGGCAAGTCCCTTCATTTACATGAGTTTTATGATTGCGCATTGAGTGTACACCTACGTCATGTGCTTTTCGGTATATAAGGAGTAAGTTTACTAGAAAGAGAAATACCACACAGATGCTGGGCTCAAGGAGCCAAAGCTCCATGGTGGCCCAGGAACCCACCCTGCTCTAGGAAGAGACTTCGGAGGCAGAGGAAGGGGCCGCCGGCGAGCTCCTCCGGTGACCCGCCCAGCCCAAGGTTATCGCTAATTCTTAACGACAGTACCATTTGTCCTACTGATGCCCTTTGATAACCATTTATTTTTATAGTCATCATGCTGTACATCATATCCGCAGGGCTTATCTACCTTCTAACTGGAAGTTTGTCCTTTTGACCCCCTTCACCCATTTTTCGCCCGCCCCCACCTCCTGTCTCTGGCAACCACCAATCTGGTCTTTCTATGAGTTCAGTTTTTTTAGAATGCACATATGAATGAAATCATACTGTTATTTGTCTTTCTCTGCCTGACTTATTTCACTCAGAATAATGCCCTCAAGTCCATCCATGTTGTCACAAATGGCAGGATTTTCTTCTTTTTTTAAGGCAGAGTGAGATTCCATTGTGTGTGTGTGTGTGTGTGTGTGTGTGTGTGTGTGTATACAGAGGGTGCCAAAAAAATGCACATACATTTTAAGAAATAAAAGAACTGTATGAAAATTATGTTGATGGTATCCACTTTGAGCACCTCTTGTAGTTGCAGAAGTCAAATGTGACTTGCATTCATTTTTCGTTATCGGTATATATTGAGAATTACAATTTTAATACAGTTTTTCTCTTCTTAAAATATGTATACATTTTTTGGCACCGTGTGTGTGTATGTGTATATAAAATACATATACATATATATACACATATACACCATGATGACCATTTTTAATTGCAGTAATCAGATACGTGCTCAATTAAGTGCATAATCAAGTCGCCACGCCTCATGAAGGAGATGTAGGCAGTGACTTGAGCACCTTCGTCCCGTCTCTGACGGAGCAGCTCCTCGCTGGTCCAGGCCTCTGTCAGCCCTCCTCCGCTGCTCTGTAGCACCGGCCGGCAGGCCCCTTATTCCGTTCCTTCCAATTCACTGGAAATATTACCGTGGCCTTGACCTTTCCCAATCGCCATGATGCCCACAGGCACTGCCTAGCCTTCCAGGGCCTCCTTACTTCTTCTCAAAGCATCTAGGAAATGAAAACCTACAACTTAAATTCCCATCGTGGTTTTCAGATGGCGCTCTAGACTCTAGGAGGTTCTTCTGCTTAATCAAATACCTGCGTTATATACAGTTCCATAGTAGCCGGCAGCACGAGCCCCTCCAGATACAGGGACTTGAGAGAGTATGAGATTCAGCGCATGGCATTTAGGGCCTGGGACGCGACCATCCCCACAGCCATCATTTTCCCAGGGTCATCCACTCTCAAGGTTGCACAGCCGCCTTCCTTCAATTCTTCGTCAACTACTGGCGATCATTTCAAAATCCTGCACCATCCTGGTTGCTGCGGAGTCAGCTAACACTTCTCTGTCCTGACAGACCACAGGAGGGTCCCACTGCTCAGATGGTCCCCTCCCACCCAGCCTTGTCCCACCTGGTCCCTAGCTGGCGCTGTCACCTCCTGCTTTGTGACCACCCACCAAGCCCTTCCAGACTTGCTAGCACAGCAACCACTTCAGAATAAAATGCACGGATCTAGTCTTTAGAATCAAAAGAATAGATGCCAAAAATAAAACGGTCACTTCCAGACATTTGTTTCTGTTCCCCACCGCCGCCACTGTCCCTGTTACAACCCGCAGTCCCCGCGGAACTGAGAACCCCCAAAGCGACGGCGCGCTTCCCAGGGGCTGATCGCGCCCGCTGCGGCTGCGGACACTAGGGGGCGCGAGGGTCCCGGATTCCTGTCCCTCGCTGGCGGCCGCTGCGGCGAGGTCCACCCTGAAGCTGGGGTCTGGTTCCGACAGGAGTGGCCGTTCTGCACCGACGGGAAGCAGCTGCCCGAGGGCTGATCTGGGGGCCTGGGAAATGCGACTGCCCTCTGCTGCCCTTTCTAGCTACGGGAGTTATTGAAGTCCCCTTTACACCCAGAGCCTCGATGGGGTGGGTGGGAGAGGCACATGAGACCTGTGACAGCCACCGGAGGCAGAAGAGGTACCCAGGGGTGGGGCTGGACTGCAAGCACAAGGCGCTGCTTTCAGATTGGGGCGTTAGCCACATTGTGGGGGACCCTGGACAAAACCGAATATGATTCCAAGTGTTGATTTTTTTATGGTGCACTTTCTATTATCTTTTTTTATGGATAGTGTGCATTGGATTAGAATTTCCATGTGCTTTACAAAAAGCAGCAGTTGTATTATCAGCATTTCGAGTATTTTTCGCACCATGGGAAAATTGTTGAAGCATTGTGTATAGAATCCATTTTTACAAAATGCAGCCATAATAGAAAACTGGCCCAGGAAAGCCCCCACCTGAAAGGAAACTCTGCGGTGAAGGATTAGGTGCTAAATGCTTCCAAGTGACCTTCGCATCTATTTAGTTGGGTTTGTATTTGGAATCTCCCCGGTGACTCACAGATGCTTCCATCAAGCAGGCAGACAACACAGGAGAAAAAAAGCAATGTGGCTGGCTGCTGGGGGTGCGACACTTCACTAAAGTAGTGAGCAGAATGGGTTGTCCCCAAAGTCTTCGTGCAGTTTTAAGCCACTAGAACTTTTGGGACATCTCGAATATTAAGAGTAAAAAGAGCAGAGACCTTGGGGCAAGAGGGAGCTGTGTTCAAATCCTTGCATGAGTTGCTCTTTTTCAGGGTTTAGAGGCCAAAGTTCCAGTCCTAGTTTGTCACTCTATAGCTGTGGGTTTTTTGCAAAACTATTGAACCCCCCTGGGCTGCAGTGTTTTTATGCTAAAAGAGTCAGTGGCATTAGATTCTTAGATGAACTCAAGGTTATCAGATTGTAGAGGCATTATGGTGCTTGTGTTCATTTTACTTAATAATGTCACATTCACATAACTTTTATTACAGTTCATTCTTAGACTTGCTCTACTTTATTATTGTTGTTGCTAACCTCTTACCATCCTAATTTATAAATTACATTTTATCACAGGTATGTGCATATAGGAAAAGACGTCGTATCTATAAGGGTTTGGTACTATCTGTGGTTTTAGGCATCCACTGGGGGTCTCTGAACGTATCCTCCATGGATAAGGGGGGACTATTGTATACATATATTCATGAGCAGGTCCCTTTGCTGATAACCAGTCTTAATTTTTTATTATGTAAGAAGTGACAGGATGTTTACTGTGTTAAGAGTGTCTCACCTTTGGGAGTCTGTACTTTTCTCGGAGATGGACTCTCAGGCAGGCCCTCTCTGCCTTTTTTTGTGTAAATGCAGCATCTCTTTCCATCCTAAAAGGAAACGAATAGAAGAAGGGATCAAAGGACATTGAGAGCTAAGGACATTCCAGCCCCTGCTCAGAGGAGGCAGACACTGGGATACACCTTCGAGTCCCCACTGCCCTCCGACATGGGGGGTGGGGCACGGGAGCTCCGTTTCCAGCAAGGTCCTGAGTGACTGTTCAGCCAGCTAACACATCCAGGACTGTGCTTTGGAGGCACATGGTATTTGGGTGTAATGTAAAGCTGTTTCCCTTTATTGTCTCCCCCGAGACCCCAGTGTAGGCTCAGTGTCCCAATTCCCTGTTTGGAAGGAGGCATCCCAAACAAGATGGGATGGACTGCACAGAGCTCTAAGGAATGCCTAATTGGCTCCATGACTACACTGGTTTGAAATAAAATCCCCTGCTCATGTTGATCCAGGCAGAAGCAGACACCTTTGGGGATGTCTGCGAAGTTCACAACACTGCCTTCTCTCCCCGCTGCCCACAGAAGTGCATTACCCGGGGCTAAATGTATGCGCGTGGCCCTGCCCTCTGGCTGTTTTGGATTGGACCAAGCTGGGTAAATGAAATCTCTTCTCTGGGAAGTTGGGATTGGAACTGAGGCACGTGGTGTGGCTGGAGCTGTAACAGGTGAACATGGAGGCCATGGGCTGCAGTTTTCTATCAGCCACATGGTCTGGGTAAGAGATGGAGAGAGCTGACTGCTGAGAAAGAAGAACAAAGCTGCCAGACAGAGAGAGAAGCAACGGCAAGCGATGGAAGGGTGCTCGTGGTTCCCCGACAGCTTTCTGGTCCCTAGTGTAGGCCCATGTGGGGCCTGGTGGGATTTCCGCTAATGGGTTTTGGTTTGATGAAGCATCTTTGCATGTAACGTGGTTTGCATTAAAACGAACTCCCTGTTTTCATTTTCATGTGGCTAAACTGGTTTCTAGTTCTTGACTCCCAAGTTTTGAAATCATCTTAACCATTACACAGAAGGTTGACTGAAGGAAGGGCTGAGTCTGAAGCGCTCAGATTAAACTATTCATCGCTGGGCCCTGGAATTGGGCACTCGGAACTGAGTGCACTCTGCAAATTGTGAGGCCTGGAATAGGCAGCAGAGGACACTGGGTTCAATCTTCCAGTTTTGGAGAGGGAAACAGAATAAGCGACTTACCCAAGAGATCAGTGACCTGTGGTGTGGGCAGGAGCAGGTCTTCTGCCCTGCCCAATATTTTACTGTGAGATATTTCAAACATGCAGAAAAGTTGAAGGAATTTTACAGTGAAACCCATATACTCACCATCTAGGTTCTACATTAAGCATCTACTATACATGTTTTATCACATATCTATCTCCCTCTGAACATTCATTCCCCCATCTTATTTTTTTGATGCATTTCAAAGTTGTAGACATCAGTACTTCTCCTCAAAAACACTTCAAGATGCATGACATTAACTGCAGTTACATATTTAAGTTTTATCATCTATGTCTATCTATCATCTATCTATCTATCTATCTATCTATCTATCTATCCATCATCTGTCTGTCTATCATCTATCATCTATCATCATCTATCTCCTATTGGCTTTGCTTATGTAACCCCAAACCCCTCTTAAGATATAAAAAACATTACTGAGAACATTCCCTCCTCCCCAATCTCCATCAGTGCCTGGTCCCCAGACATAGAGACGACCGCTATCTTTTCTCCACCATGGACTGGCTTTGCCTTCCTAGAACTTTGTATAAATGCAACCATGTGTCATGCATTCTTTTGTGTAAGGGTTCTTTCACTCAGCATAAAAAACTCTTGAGATTTAGTCAGGTTTTTATTTATCAGTACCTTGTTCCTTTGCATTACTGAGTGTAGTTTGCTATATGAATGTATCACGTTTGTTACTCATGGTGCTGGTGGTGAGCACCTGGACATCTCCCATTTGGGGCTGCTGTGAATGAGGCTGCTGTGAACATTTTTGCACAAGTCTTTTTGTGATCATATGTATTCATTTCTCCTCAGTAATATCCAGGCATGGAATTGCTGAGTTGTAGGGTAACTAGGTTGAGTAAGTGTAGTTTTATTAGAAACTGTCAGACCTTTTCTATCTTACATCTCATCAACTGGAAGAATTCTAGTTGGTCTGCATTCTGGAGCACATTTGGTATTCTGTCTTTTTAATTTTAGCCATTCTAATGTGTGTGTAGTGGTATTTGAGTGTGATTTTCATTTTCACTTCCATGATGACTAATGGTATTAGGTTGTTTTTTCATGTACTAATTGGCCATTTGTATATCTTTGTGAAATATTTGTTCAACTCTTTTTGCTCAATTTATTTTGCCTTTATTATTGAGTCTCAGAAATGCTTCATATATCTTAGGTCCTAGTCTTTTGTAAGATATACATTTCGTAAATATTTTCTGTCTGTGGCTTGCCTATTTACTTTCTTAATGGTGTCTTTTAATGCACAAAAGTTTTTAATTTTAGTAACAGGTAATTTATCATTTAAACATTTTATGGTTATTGCTTTCAGTCATGTGTAAGAAATCTGACTATTTCCAAGGTGCAAGGATATTCTATGCTTTTTTTCTAAATGCTTTAAAATGTTAGCTTTTATGTTTAGGTCTGTGATGCATATCAAAATTCAAGTTACAAATAGCACTGTAGCAATTGTACCATAAGTAAGATAAAGGGGCATTTTAATATAATTGAGAGACATGGAGGCATAAACAGATTATTGTCTTCCTTAGACCTTTCCAAGTGTTCTATTTAGGTATTGATGTCTTTCAGTACTAATGTTATAGGTAACAACAACAAAAAATATGAACATAGAAGTAAAATAAAAATGAATGCACAGTAGAGTGCATTGTTAAGTAGTTTTTAGTTTACAATTAGTGGAGTCAGTCCCACAATTTTTCTAAAATGATGGACAGGCTTTTAGTTGCTAATATTCATGTTAATGATTATAGCTGCTATAATGTCTATAGCTCTCTCTACATGTAACTTGTAGTGAACCCCTGTTTGAAGCCTACTTCTCTATGTTGTAGTCTAGGAGATGAAGCTCTTGAAAACTCAAGCAATGGACTGGAAGTCATGCCTCTTGCCATGGGGAAGCAGGCTGGCCCTAGTGTCTTGCTACTATTTCTTAAATTAGGTGACTACATACATTTGTAATACACACACACACACACACACACACACACACACAGTGAGGAGTAGTTGGCAAATAACCCAATCCATTGATGGACCACACCATTTGGGCATTTTGATCCGTCCAGATATGAAATTAAGAAAATTAGACATTAGTTTAATCAAACAGATGCCGTATCTGTGACCGGATTATGGCTTAGCCATATTAATGATATTTTACATGATCAAGTGTATAGTCTAGATTGCTGACTATTTTCTTTTTATAAGCCCACTTGAAGTGAGGACATTGGTACGATTGTTCTACTTTTGTTTCTTCAGTATACTTGTTTTTTTACACGCCATGGCCGAAACTAGTCAATATTTAAGGAATGCTACTTGTTTTTGGCCCAAGAATTATCTCAGAAGCAACACAATTTTTGCAGGTGCATTTACTTTTTTAACTGACTTTAATTTACTGCAGAGTCAAGCATAATACATTCTAGGTAGTTTATAAGCCATGATTTCTTTCAGAAAACAATATAGAAGACAAGGTTTCCATTAAAGGGAATCCTTTTGTACTTTCTTAGTTTCCTCCAAGTTATGAACCTTGTCATTTATAATCATTTTAGCGATAGGATTCAAGCAGCAATTATGTAATTGTTGTTCGCAAAACAGCCATGGAGGCATATGATAAACATTTAACCTCAAGACTGATGCTTCAAATCTTAGCAGATTATTAAAACTCTTAAATGAATTCATTAAACTTTAAAAAAATTACATGGAGACTGTACTTAATTGAAGATCAGTCTTCAGCAATGAAAAATTGTTGGTGATATTCATTCCATATACTGAACTACAATGTTACTAATATTTTGTTTTTATTACATTTTATATAGCCAGGAGAATGTCCTGATTTTTCAGAGGTATATGGTTGAAGTATTTAGGGGTGAAGTACCATGATGCCTATAATTTACTTTGAAAATTGTTCTCTATATCATCAGTCAATCAATCAATCATCATCTATCCAACTAACCTATCTATAAGCAAATATGGCAAAATGTTAACTGTTGACTTTAAGTCATAGGTAGGTATAGGTATTCGTTATACTGTATATAGGTATTTGCTATACTGTATATAGGTATTTGTTATGCTGGTCAACTTTTCTGTATCTTTAAAATTTTCATAATAAACAGCCCACAAATTTATTCATAGTCTTTGAGAAGCCAAGTCTTATGACACAATTGTTATCTTGTGCTTTCCAGGCTCTTCTGCCCACGTGGGATCAAGAAGTTTGCGCTATATGTTGTTTAAGGCCCTCTTCTTAGTCTGAATTCTTACAATTTGAAAGCTTTTCCCTTGCCAGGAGGGTGAATTTCCAAAAGGCTGTACAGATCGTTAAGCTCACAGTTTTCCCTCTGAACAGTTAAACTGAAGTCAATTAAAATGTGCCTCGATCAAAAAATGTTAAGCGGTACTAAAAACGACATGTAGATTCATTTAGTTTACATTTCCATTCAGACAAAGAGGACATAGCAACTGCTGATTCTACAACCTTGTTCACTTTTACAGAACCAGTCTGTCTTCCTAAGGTGAGAAGACAAGAGCTCAGGGTAAGACATGGAAACAGCAAAAAGAGAGAAACTGGGAGTGGAAGAAGGTAAGGCCAGTCTTCATGCCTTTTTGCGTTTAAAGGGAAATGCAACCGCGTGTACTCACTTCTCCTCAATCATTTGCTTTTGATATTCCTCATATTCTTCTCTAGTCATTCCTTGAGCAGCAGCAGGGTCAGATGCACTTCCTTCTTCTTTTCTTTCTTCAGACCCACCACCAAATCCTAAATTCTTTACCTGGTTACTTATCATCGTTTTCATAAAGAAAGCCATTGTTGCTGCCCCAGAAACAGAAAGCCAAAAAACTCAGACAAAACCTGAAGGAAAAAAAAAAGACAAACTCCAAATATCCGTACCGACAGCCACACGCTTAAGAGCCAAGAACCTTGCACAGCCTCATCTCTTCAAGGGCATGATGATAGAGAAGGGTGGTTTGTGAGCTGTAAGCTGGATTAAAGGGGTGAACTGCCTCGTAGAAAGAGGCAGATGGTTCAGATTACTCAGGCATACAGTCAGATGGCACCGACTGCTTTCTGAATTAATACACTAAGCTAATTTCAGAGGGAAAAAAGAATCCTTCCCATTATCTACCCCTCCCTCCCATCCATTTTAAAATTTTAAATTACCAGCACACCAGGGCTTCCTCCAGAGTGCTGCTTCAATTAATCAGAGCTGACATTATGTGGCTGTAGTGGAATTTCCAAATTCCAGCCTTTGAACCCAACATCCTGTTGAAAACTGAGTCCAATGAGACTCAAAACCCAAAGTGCTCATTAAGCAAAAATAATCCTTTGATCTGTCATTTCATCTCACTGGATGCTAAGCACACCGTGAGGATTTGCCTTTGGTTTGCTTGGATTCTCAACTGCTTCAGTGGTTCCAGTGCCCCATATAAAAATATCCAACTGAGGGTGGCCAGTTAGCTCAGGTGGTTAGAGTGCAGGCTCATAACACCAAGGTAGCCGGTTCGATTACCACATGGGCCAAGGAGCTGTGCCCGCCACAATTAGATTGAAGACAACTGAAGAAGATCATGGGACCTGGAAAAACATACTGTTCCCCCCCCACACACACACACAAAATAAATAAATAAAAATAAATAAAAAACAAATATCCAAGGGCAAGTTCAAAGGGCCAGGCAGTGGGTCCTCAATTTACATTGGGAAGGTTACCTCCGCCTGCTGCGCTGAAACGGTACACTTCTGCATGGAAGCGATGCATTCGGCACTTCCGATGCTCCCATCCAGAAGGTAAGGACATAGGTGGAACAGGGTCAGCTTTTTCTCTTACGTACAATGAACTTCCAAGGTGCTCTACTTAAGCTCACAGGTGTACTTGGAGAAAACCTTTGACAATGTTTTGTCACGCAGCAGATTCTCAATGGTGGTGGTTTTCCTCAGGTCAAGGGAGGAACTGAGTACGGCTAAGACGTTAATCCACGTTAGTTAGTATCTTTCTAATTAAAGCAATCCAAAGCAGGGTGTGCGTGTGTGGGGTGGACTCAGGGAGGGGGGAAGAGATGTAGGCTATTTGTAACCTGTGCTTATTATTTTATCATCGGGAGAGCCCTCAGGAAATAGATGACTACCCTTCAGGTTGCACAGAAGTATATAATCTGGATTTTTGCCTAAAATGCTTGTCTTAGATATCTTAAGATCTGCTTTCCCTTTTTCTAACCCATTTTAAAATGTTGCTAAAATGGTCTCAATTTGAAAGGCTAACAGGTTTAGGGTGAAGCAGAAACGTTGCTCAGAACGCTGATGGAGAGCGTACATGAACTTAGCTCCACTTTCACTTTTAGATGCGTTGCCTGGAACTCAGCACATTCAAACCATTATCTCTTAAGTTACCATTTATCATAAACTATATTTCATCTCCATTGACGGGGTTACTTATTAATAAGGTCTTACAGAACTTTTCAGATGATAAAAAGCCAGAGCACCTGTGTTTGTCTGTTTTGTTTTCCCAGTTCAACTCTCCTTTAGAAAATACTGCACAGATGTTCCATGACATTCAAAAAAACTTTCATTTCCCAAAGACAAGGGCAATTGGCTGAAGGTCTGTTCTATATAATAGTTTAGGTCAGAAAGTGAAATCCCTAAAGCCAACTTGGATTAATAGGCCTGAATCAGGTTAATATTATCCCTTAAAGAATAAAATAAAAAACCAAGATAATAAAAATACCACTTCATATTTTATTGTAAATTGAATTATTGTTCACATTTATTGTAAAACTCTTCATTACAACTCCACTTTATTAGGAACTGGGAAATATTATTAATGGTGATGGTGTGAATTCTAAGCCCGAAAGCCAGTTTGTACAGCAGCCTCTGTCCTTGTCTGCGTGCAACGGGGGGAGGGGACAAGCATTAGGGACCTTTAGGCAGTAGCCACATCAGGGTGACAACTGAATACTCCCAGGTATTGCTTTGTTTTATGAAATCAAGTCTCTCATTATCTTCCCAACAGATAATTCCAATAAAAATGGGATCATGTCTGGAAAAACTTTTTATTCCTCAATTTATTCCAATGGCCTTTCCACTTGGACAGCCAGTAACTAGTTGCTGCTGTAGAGCATTCACGCCTCCAGAAAGGGAAAATATTATAAGTCACCCATTTGTGAAATGGGACCGCTAGGCGTTCCCCCTCCAAAGGCTTCTTCTCATCACACCTGAGTAAGACCCCAGACCTTCACTATGGCCTGCAAGGCCAAGGCCACGTCCCCAGGACCCCCGCGCATGTCCACAGCCCCCACAGCTCCTGGTTTCCACCATCCCACCCCCAGCAGGCTCACAGATCAGGCTTTAAGTTTCCTTTAATTTCTTTCAAACCCATCTCATTTATTTAAATTTTATTTTATCCAGTATTTCCCAGAAGATGGGGGTCCACTACCTTAGTCTCCTAATTTCTGAAACCACGTTTGAAAGACTTTCTTACACCCACCAACCCTGTGAGAGAAGCATTATGAAAAAACGGAAGGTCATCTTCACTGAGTGGCAGAGCCAAGACTCAAACCCAGGTTTGTCTGGCACCAAAGCTCTACTCTCTCTTTTTTATACTGTGTGGGCCTCAGAATTAGAATTACTTGATTAAATGGTGCTTGCCAAAAAGATGAAAACTTTTTAACTGCCATTACTAAGAGTTCCAGTTTAACTATACTTTTACCAGTATTTGGCTATTAAAAGTGAAAACATCACATACGTTGTTTTAATTAATCTGTATTTTTCATTACCAGCAATGGTAAGCATTTATCCAAAGCCACTTCTACTTCTCTTTTTATGCTTCCATGTGTTGATTCCACAGGTGGTACGCCACCTAAGGCAGAGCGCACAGCACATCCTAAATAAAAGACCATTACAAATCAGGGCCTACTTGGAAAATAACTACTTATTACCCGAGATCAATGAAGGGAAAAGTAAATTTACTAAAATATTTCTTTATTTGAATAAGGTCAGTGTCATTTCTTGAATTCCAGCTAGCATCAAATAACAATCAGAAGAAAACACTTGACAAAAAATGTTATCCAATTGAAATTAACAGAGGATAGAAAACACCTTTCAACTCTGAAATAGATTAAACAGGCAACATACAGATCTAAAAAGTTGCAAGTGGTGATTTCACATTAGACCTTATAAATAAAAATAAAAAACCCCAATATAATCATTTGTTCGCTATCTCCCTGCGGTGAGCACATGGACAGGAAAAGATAATCACATCTTAATATTCACAACTCTTGTTATGTTCTTCACAAAGGCTGTGTCTCTGATGCAGCGGGTCCGGCAATCCGTTATTCAAGTAATTTTTGTTTTCCCCAAGTTATCAAAAAGTACAATTGTCTGAGATAAAATGTCACAAAAATTGCCATCAAGAAAGCAAAGAGCTATAGCAGGCAGACATGAAGAGGGGAGTTTTCATGGCTTGAGCATAATCTGAAGATGATTTAGTAAGTTTAAAAGCCATCGGCCAAAGTACCAAGAGCTACAGGCAGCGATCTGGGTTTAGTTTCTGGCTGCTACTAAACCAAGAGTTTTAGTAAAAAGGACATTAAGTAAATTTTAAGTATAAAAGAATCAGTGCACATTTGCTAACGTCATCGACAATGAAAATGTTACATTATGCTCTCAGCTCAGCTTTAAACCAACAAAAAAATGCTTTTTTTTTTTTTTCCACTCCCCATCTTAGTGGTTCTCAAACATCAGTGTGCTCAGAATCACCTGAGGTGCTTGTTGGAACGGATATTCTCAAGTCCCACCTCTGAGCTTTAATTCAGGCGCTTTGGGATGGGGCCCTGGGATCCGTGTTCTTAACAAGCACTCTAGGACCCGGATGGTTCAAGGACCCCCGCTGTGACAAATGCTGATATCCCTTCAATACTTAACAGAATGTTGTTTGTTTGTGATTTCATAGTAAAGTTTCAAGCTGAATAAAACATCCAAACAAGTAGAACACAAATAGGTACATTAAATAAGAGTTATCAGCCATCATGTAATTGCATTTCTTTTTAAAAGTAGCATCATAAGCACAACTTACACTAAAATTTTAAAATCAATTTTGTTTTAATCCAAGGCACCTGTAAAATACTTGCTGGTGTGAGAGAAGTTAAATTCAATTATATAAAACAGTACAGAAATGAAGGAATCCTGGCAGTGATTGAATTTTCCACAGGGCCAACGCTTTTCTTTGAAAATGAGCTAAAGTCGATGATTTCGAGGAAAATAAAGCAATTTTCAAATAATATGATAAACACTCTGTGCGAACTGCTTTACTGAGTGATTTTTAGCAAATTAAATTACTAAGTAGAAAAGATTCCTGCGTGTGCTCTTTCATAATAGCCGTCTCCATTCGTATTGGGGACGATCGGAATGATTCCTCTTAAATTTCAGCCTGAAAAATGTATCCTGCATAGATCCAGCATTCCTTTAACAAGTTCAGGCACACGTGACCATGGAGTTTATAACACTGGATATCTCAAAGCCTTTTATCACAAGAGGATTTCCCAAGCTCATAGTCTACAACTTAAATATTCTTCTGAAGGTATTAATTTTTCTCATGAAATAAGACTAAATTCTGTGATGATGAGGCCTCTGAAATATGAATTCACAATGTTAAGACTATGGGGAAGAACACTAGCGAGGCATTTTGTTTGTGGATGTGACTGAGCATTAGAAAATTCTTGTTCAGTGTTCCGGGGTAAATGCTAAGATAAAGAGCGATGCTAGGACTATCTGATACGCAGCACAAGATAAGAACTGCTATAATGGAGAGTTCATCATAGTCTTTGTATAGCTGTTAGGCACTTAGCCCAACCTGTAAATGACATCTTAGAGATCATTTCTCAAGGCTTGCAAGAATTAAATATACTATTTTATAAAACAGTATTACTTTGGATTCTACGTCAAATGAAAGATAACCACTTTAGCTAAAAGAGTATTTTGAAGCCAGCAAAAATAAGTCCACATCACCTGTGAGAATAAAATTATGTATGTTTTAAAATGTCACTTACAGACTGTTTCTATAACATCTAGAACTATGTATAAAGACTATAATGACCCCTTCCAGTCTGACATTTCAAGGTTAAACTTACTAACAAGTGCTTCACGATAGCCTCAGTTTTGGCATTAAAAGAAAGAAATCAGAAGTATTAATTCTTTTCAAATTTCGCCTTCAAAAATCCTAACACGGCCTCTGATACAGCCTCCTTGATTGACACATGCACGCAGAGTGGCCAACGCCAGGTTGCATGGAGTAATGTAAACCCGGGCATGGTGTGGAGTTTGTGGGCTACAGGATCCACTGAAGGTACAATCTGAGCTGAATCTACATGTACAAACCACAAACGCAGAAATTATTTTCGTAATACTGAACTGACACTGTTAGAATGAAGACATTTAGGAACATGAGCAATCATGAAATGAACACATTACCAGGCAAAATGCCCACACAAACTATTATCAGAGGAATGTGTTCTCCTAAACGTTTCTTAGGCAAAGAGCAGCTTTTAAGTTTTCCCCAAATTTTCCTTTGAAAGTGAAATATATCACCAATAATCAGAGGGGAAAAATGCTTCATTAAACTATCTGAAGCCTACTATCCAGATCCTAATGCTCTCAGACAAAATATTCTTTGATTTCAAAGGAAGCAGTATTAGATTAAAGGATTGCGGGATTGGGTCTTCGAGTAGGAAATTCTGACCTCTTAAAAAATGACTGGTTACAAAATAACCACGATGGGGGGAGACCTCGTATTTAGACCTCGTATTTGGGGTGGGGGTGTGGCAGGACAGCAAGTGTGTTTATGTGAAATAAACCTCCAACATCTGAGACGTAGGGGTAATTTTCATATCTGGGGGCTGCCCCCATTTTCTATTATTTACTCTCTTATTTATCAATTCTGTTCAGTGGCTGTATTTTATTGGCCAGAAAGTCACCGAAATTTAAATAGACCTTACGTACTATGCACAAATTTACATGTGGTTGTCTTTAAGGTTTTATTTTTACTCCAAATCAATGTTTAAAGTTATTTTATACAAAATTTAATAATTTAGCCTATGAAGCAATTTAAATACTTAAATTCCCTCAAAACAACATTTTGTACATACATACATGATGTACACATATGAAAATGGTGGTCAAAAGAACTTTTTGGCAGCTGCTTCTTGTTGAGTCCTAAGAAAAAAACAGAAAAAAAAAAAAAACCAGAAGGAATTTCTATATGCTTTACTTTGGAAAGAAATAGGATTGCTTAAAATTAAAATATAGTCTTTTGAATGATAAAATACATTAGCATAAGCACACATTCTATACATGTACTCCCATATAAACTGACATAAACTAGAAATAACATTTGCTTTGCATAAACCTAATTTATAGGCACTGAAAGTTCAACCTAGATAACTTTACTGAATATTTCAAATTAAACACATACAGAAAAATGTTGGGTTGAATTTTAGAGACTTACCTGTACATGATATAACCAGCGAATAACATCGTTTGTACCACTACAAATATAACAAAGTGCACCGTCGATAAACATGATGGAAATGGTGGTAGTTCTGGGCATTTAGGTCTTTCATGTGATGGCTATAAGGCAAAAGACTTTCTATTACAATTAGTTGAGTTAGTATTTTAGAAAAAGAAATAAATTTGAAATTTTTATAAAACTCATGGTCTACTGTGATAAACTCCAGTATTTTCATTCATTCACCCCATAAATATCTTCCATCCCCTTAATTTTTACCACAAAACTGTTTGAAAGCGTAGCTGACACCGGAAGGCCTCCATCTTTTCACTGTCCAGTCACTAAGTCATTGCCATCTGGCTCCTATCTTCATTTCAGTGACAATGATTTTGGTGTCCTCGAAGATCACGGAGCACGCATTCCCTGGACACCCCCAGTTTATACTTGCTGTACTAATTATTAATAGCATCACCATCAACAGAGAACCTCATTCCTGTCTGAACCAGAACACTTCTGAGCGCATTCAGCATCACTCTCCAAGGGTCTCGTTCAGACAATCGCTTGGTTGCCCTACCATGAACTACCTGACAAACATAATGGCTTTATCTCAGCTTTCATCCTCCCTGATCTCCTAGCATTCAACATTACTAATTAGCATTTTGAAAAATTTTTTCCTTTTCTACTTCCATGAGTGTTCCTTCCATTATAAGGAGGTATTAAATATCAGGGACAAAGGTTTCATCAAGATATGCAAGCAGAATGGCTTTTAAGATTACTTGTTTTCAATATGTTTACATCTATGAGACAAAGTTCATCAGGACCTACATGCTACCCACAGCATCAAGTTGACCAAAGTTGTGGGGAAATAACCTCAAACACAATTAACGAACACATAAAAACACTTTGGATGAGAGTAATGGTCAATAAGAAAACCATTAAGCCATATTTGAAAATCTGGACAAGGAAGAGGCAAGTGCTGCAAGCATTTGTGAATTTTATAAGGGTTTTTAAAGCCAGTAATTAAGAAAAAACTTAAAAGTACCAGGTATCTGTCTTCTAATACTATTGCCTCTTATGCATATTGTACTTCACAAAAATGTTACCTAGTTTTAATACTTATTGCCAATCTCCAAAAATGTAGATGGGGTTTATACTATAAAAAAGACCTAATAAAGTAAAACAAAAACAAAAACCTTTTTGAAAAAAGAAACGATAGGAAAAGTCGCTGGAAGAATCTTGCTTAAAGCAAACTGCTATCAGTCAGCCAGTTTCAGATCTGTGCCCAACAGCCGAGACAGAGAGAAACGCGACACACAGCACGCCTCAGTCTAACAAAGGGGTTTGTCAAGAGAGGCATTCACCTTTCCAAAGCTGTTTACAGATATCATTATCGATAACAAGGGCCATTTTTAAAAATAAACTTACAGGAAAGAATCTAGGGAAAAAAGCCTGAGATTGTGATAGCTCCACTAATTGGGATAGCAATTTATTTTTTTAAAAAAGGTCTCTTCAATAGGCTCTGGGAGCGCGACGCGGCACATAGGGACATGTAACTCGGCCCTGACTACTGGAAAGCGCATGCGCGCCGCCTTACCGCGTTCCTCTGCACGAGGCTCTCGATGTCCCGCTTCACCACGTGGAGATGCTCTTTGATGTCGTTGAAGTGCTGGGTTGTCTCATACGCGCCCCCAGCTGACCCAGGGTGCTGAACGCCACCGACCAGTCTGACGGTTTCACTCATGGAATTCCTGAAACAGGAAATCCCTTTAGACAATGGAATCGCTAAAAAGACGATTCTGTCACAGGTTTCAAATGGTTAGCTACATTTCTAAGCCCAATGTATCAGATCATTAAAAAAAACCAAAAAACTAAAAAAAAAAGAAAATCAGTATTGTAAAAAAAACCCTGAATTGTCTTCAAGATTGGAAAATAATTTATGAAACTACAACTTAACATTATACCATTATCTTTTGTCTAACCACAGAGATAACACTAAACAATTTGTTAAAACCAACATTATAAATGGGTATTGGATAACACAGTGGACGAGAGTCTTAACGAACTTGATAAACACTCTTTCTAGGTGTTTAGTGTTGTGTAATACAGAACTAACCCACCAGGCCTGGGCTGCCCAAACCGTTTCTGCACATCCAAATGTTTTCAGGACTGGCCCTTGACCAGCCCCCGGGAGGTAACGTCTAAGCCCCTGGAATAATATCCTGCCTGATACAAGTGTCTCTGACTCCATGGGGCCTTGCCTGCCAACTATGTGATTTATGTTTTTGTTTGCCTGGGGCCTCAGGCCACTGTGTCAGTTTGACCTGTAGGGGGACTGGAGGCTGAGTAGTGAAGGTGAGTCACATGGGTGGCCTGTGCCTACGTGACTGGCCCCTAATACAAATCCTGGGCACCGAGGCTTGGGCGAACTTCCTTGCTCGGCAACACTTTGAACATGCTGTCACGCGTCGCTCCTGAGAGGAGTAGGCACTGCCCACGAGGCTGCGCGGGGTGGCGGGGGCACAGCTGGACACTTGTGCCTGGCTTCTCCAGCTCCACCCTATTTACTTTTGTTCTTTGCTGATTCTACTGTACATCCTTTTGTTGTAATAAACCATAACTGTGAGTATGGCAGTTTTTCTGAGTTCTGTGTGTACTTCTAGCAAATCAAAGAACCTACGGAAGGTTTTGGGGACCCCTAAGTCAAATATAATTCCATTTCCCCTTGTAATTCTATCAAATAGCCCCCTTTATCTAATCCTGCTGCATCAACCAGAACCCAACTAAAAAGGCATCTATCTGTTTCAAATATGAAGGAAAAATTATTCTTCTGGCATACTGAGCAGTGGTGTGGTAGATGCCAACGCGGTCTCTTTTTGAAGGGTAATTTTTTTTGTTTTGTTTTAGCTGAACCATCCTGCCACCTGTTGACAGCTCAGTGGCAGCTCAGCTGGGGCCGGGAATCGAACCGACGACCCTGATGCTCAGAGCTCATATTCTTGAGCAAGCTCTTAACCAACCGAGCCACTCAGCCGGCCCACTGAAGGGTAATTCTGACCTCATACAATATTTCACCTTATGTACACTGACTTCACAATATAATCACCGTGTAAGATGTGAGTCTACTATTCAGATGCCAGATAAGAGTTCTAACACTGAGTGTGTCCTTTGGATATGAGTCTATAAGCATGACAGAAAGAGGCGACAAATAGGTTTTTTGAATTATGGTAGAAATACAAGAGGGCTATTTAGTTAAAAAGAAAGGAATGTATCAGAGTTTCAATATACCTGAAAATGTCAGGTTAATTTGCCTGGGAGTACTTAAAAAGCTCTATAAATGGCAAATAGTTTATGTTATTAAACTAAAAGTATAGTATGAAATATTCTCAAGCCTGGGGATTTTTTGGTGAAGTAGATAAAATCGGACTGGAAAATGCTCACAATTGTGGAAACTGATTTCATGGATATTCAGAGGCTCACTATTCTCTCTACTTCTGTGTACACTTGAAAATGGCCATCCGTCTTTAAAATCCTTAAGTTTCCATACTCTCTTTCTAATCCTACCTCCTACTACTGGCTTTAGCTGTCTTGGTCCTGCCATCCCCTGAAAATATCCTTTGCTTATTTTAGCTTCTGTGTCTATATGTTCTTCCCAGTCCTGACCTCGCCCCTCCAAAAGCGATGGTCTACAGTGGGAAGCCCAGTTCAAACGGCTGCCTCTGCCCTCAACCCTCTGCTTTCCGAGCCTTCCCTGCCAGGTACAACCACTCCCTAAACACACACACACACACACACACACACACACACACACACACACACACACACACACACACACACACACACACACCACACACACACACACACTTTTCTCCTTTGTTTCGGCAAAAATGAATCCTCTCCCTGGAGAGCATAAGCCGCCTGAGACAACCACTCCCTAAACACACACACACACACACACACACACACACACACCACACACACACACACTTTTCTCCTTTGTTTCGGCAAAAATGAATCCTCTCCCTGGAGAGCATAAGCCGCCTGAGATCAGGACGGCTCTGAATTCCTGACAGTGCCTTCAACAGTTATAGTTCAATTTGGATGAATGAGTTACCTAACTTACTGCCTTGGAATAAAATTTAGTTTAAAAGGTAAAAGCTTTGCTGGAAGAAAACAAAAAAGAAGGTACTCAAATATTAGAATTACTTAGAAATAACACAGTAAGTCAGGCTGAATGTTAAGTATAATAACAAAGGTTTTAAAATTATATTTGAGTTAATATGAGCAATGAAGACTTTAAAACTTCTACAAAATATCTACAAAGTGCTTTCTGAGTAAACGACGTGTTGATTAAAGTTTCTTTTAATTGCACATGTGCTCAAGAAAATTCATGTGAGTCTAAACTTTTCCATTAAAACCCAAATTAAGGATTACATTTTAACATATCTACAATACTTACAAGAATAAAGCATCCCAGATATGTAACTTCCTCATATATCTGCATTTGAAAATACTGTTTTCTGGAAGCATGAACTTGCTTAGATATGAATGTCTTTTTAATATACAAAGATTGAGCCACTTAATGTGTTCCTGCTCATTCATTCGTTTGCCTGTTGACTCTGCTAACGTTTATTTGGTACATGTTATAAGTCAGGTAATTTTTAGGGATGTAAGTTGTGTGAGAAAAATGTAATTCCTGCCCTGTCAAGACTAACGGCCTGGCAGGAGGAACAAGCCCTTTTCTCAATGGGAGAAGTAGCACTGACGGGTAAGTTAGAGGGAGAAGACAGAGGGAGGGGCAGCAGAGTGGGAAGAGCCTGATACGGAGCTCAGTGCCGGCCTCCACCACAGCTGCGTGGATGGAACCAGTGCGTGTGTTGGGGGGAGGCACAGGAAGGGGAGGTGGCGGGGGCAAGGGCACCTCCTGGGAAGAGCGTCTGTGGTGGGCTGGGTCATGGGGCTTGAGGAGACTGGTCAATAGCTTAAATGAGGTAAGTGACATCAAGAATGAATACCGATTGCTAAGCAGCTTAAGGATTACATTACAGTGACGCTGAGGGTACAGAAGAGGACAATTAGGAGCAAGGTCCCAGAAGATGTGGGAAAACATTCATGGGAAAATGCCAAGCACAATACTTAGAATGCAATAGGTATTCAATAAATTAGGTGAAGGTAAACATAATGCTAAATGCTTGCACTCACCAAAAAGAGCATTTACACTTTGAATTCAACATTTAAAAAATTATAACCAATTAACAAACTACAAATGTCAGCACATACAAACGGCAAAGCTCAAAACACATATGTAGCTCTGTCCATTGAAAAGGCCTGGAAGCGAAAACCCAGTAGCAGTATGCACCAGATTCCCTACAAAGACCATTCCCCACTGAAAGACGGGCGCTCCCAAGAAAAATGCCTTGTGCCACGCATGCAAGAGAAACCTGGACAGTCTTACACCCGAAAGGAAGTACCAAAGACGACTGCGGCTGTGTCCATAGACACAGAGCCAGCTTGTAGAGGATGCTAGTGGCCAAAGATGAGATGATTTGAACATCAATTATAAAGACAAGTGGATCAAAACAGCAAAACACGCTAAAATCTCCGAGTTGAAAAAAAAACAATCACCCCACATCCTCATCATTTAACCTTGGAGACTGACTGCCAGGGTACCAACTCGGTCTTCTGAAAAATGGTAAGGAGAAAGAATCAATTATTTATTTCTCCTTTCCTGCACTATATCAGGATAACAAACAAGTGATGGGAGGAATTCTTTTTACATAGAGAGGGAATTTTAGAATGAGAGTGTCACCCTTCTTCAACCTCTGATGAAATGATGGATTGGCGATGGCCACCGCTGGCTACTAAAACTCAGAGTAGCTGATTGGGAGGGGTTCACTTTATAATGAATGGCGTAGGCTGACATCTGGTTATTAATAACTGTTGAAAGTGGATGATGGGATATGAGAAAGGGTTCTTACATTATTTTCAACTTTTTTGTGTTTGAAAATTTCTATAATGAAAAAAAATTGGCAAGGCTTCATATGCTAGAAATAGCACTTGAAAGTGAGGAGATTATGAGAGCTAATTCTGACTCTTTTCTGTGATCTTTTACCACCCAGGGCCCTTTTTTCTCTTTTCGTAAACCTAAGGGGATTGAATTACATGCTTCTGCAAAAAAAAGTTCTACAATTTCCTAAGAATATGAAAATCCATAATGACACAGACCACCCTCACCAAAAAAGGCAAATGTTCCGTATCTCTTTACATTTTTTTCTGAAACTTAATCCTGAAAAAAAAAAAGATCTAGAGGACAAATTCAGAAATTTGAGTTCAGTTTTTATATTAACTTATTGTATACATGGCATTTGTACTCAATTTGTAAGTGGGAGTTTATAAGGATTGCTACCTCCCCTAATTAAGTCCTTTCATGGATAATACAACCAGATGGCTAGGATTTACCAACCACTAACTGAATCTTAAGATGTTCCAGTACTACTGTTAGGTGAACCAAGCAAAGCACAAAGGAGTATCTGGAATATGCTACATCACATAAGAAGAGGATCTAAGAAAATACGCATGCAGAAGAAATATCGGCAGAACAAACCAGAAATTAGTGGGATGGGTTATCAATAGGGGGTGGGTGGGAAAGAGCTGGAAAGAAGGAAAGAATGGGAAAGGGGTAGTAGTGATGAAGATATGTCAATGTATATATATATATAGAACCATAGTATTCACATACCCTTCATATGCCCAAAATACAAACAGTTAAAAAGCAACCAGATGTAGAAGAATACAACCACTAACAAAAAGGCTAACTACATATAAATAAATATCGAAACCATACTGAAGGGAGTGGGGAAGCAGAGAACTACACCGAGGAACTATTGGAAGACAGGGTCTGGACTCGATACCGTACGGCTGGAGGCAAAAGGAACTTTACATGAATCCGTCAGTCAATGTGTTTCTCACAGGGATATGGGATAACAATTTGGAATCACTTTATGTATACACTAAAATTGAACCAGTAAGTAAATTCATTATAGATAATAAGAACCAGGTTTTTCCCTGTTAGAGAGTTTTCAAATAGGGGAAGGAGGAAGGCTAAAATCAACCCCGTAATGTTCAGTCCAGCCCAGTCCAATTAGAATCCAAAGTATCTAAATAATCTCAGTTTTTTTAAAACAAATGTAGATCGGTGGATATAAAAATAGAGCTGTGTGTGTGGGTTAGAATACACTCCCAGGTTCCCTAGCTCTGCCCACTGAGCCGAGAAGCAATGGCACCCCACTAGGAGCTCGCGCGCCCAGTTCCCAGATCTTGTTTTCTAAATACCTTTCTCTAAGGAACCAGGGCTCACTGGAGAAGTGGCTGATTCTAGAGCTGGAGCAGGGAAAAAACAAGAAGAACTTGAAACACAATGTAGTGTCAGAAAGTGAAATGCACAACAAAAGAACACAACAGCCAAACTGAAGAAGCTCCTAATGACTGAGCTGGGATAATGTGAACAAAATAAATAATGACAGTACTGGATTATAACCCACAGAATAAATATTCATGAGTCCATACTGATGATATAAGGAATGGATTAAGCGAATAAATGGGGGAGAAGGGACAGCTAGTCCTTACAGAATTCCAATAAATAAATGTAGAAGAAATGAAAAACAGAAAAACCAGCATCTGGTAAACACCACATTCTTATTTCAGGTAAGACATCAATGGAGATAAAATTAGCGAGCAAAAGTTTAAAGTGAAATAGGATATTTACACAGTCTCAAAGAATCTTTCCCAAAATATTAACCACCAAGGGAATGATAGTAAGTTTAAAGTAGAGAAACTGGGAAGAAACCATCATAAGCAAGTGATCACTGCCAACATCCCCAGTGATGTGACATACCGACACCATGAACATGGTACTCTGTTGTATTCTTTTCAAAAGTGCAGAACCTCCATCCAATCACAAGTATATACCAGACAAAGCCAAGCTGAGGGACCACTGACCAAATAACTGTTCCGTGCTCTTGGAAATTGTCATGGTCATGAAAGACAAGGAAAGAGGAACTATTTCAGACTGCCGAAGTCTACAGAGAAATAACTAAATGCAACGTGTGATCCTGGATAGGATCTGTGAACAGAACGGCATAGTGGAAAACTGGTGAAACGTGAAGATCACTGGTTCAGTAGACAGTGCTACACCAAAGCTAGTTTCTTGGTTCTGACACTCGTACTGTGGTTACGTAAATGTTAACAATAGGCGAAGGTGAGCAGGGGATATATGGAAACTGGACTATTTTTGAACCGCCTGAAGTCTAAAATTGGATCAAAACAAAGATTAAAAGAAAGTGATATGATCCAGTCTATTTCTAAAAGAATTTAAGTATTCATTTAGCATCATTAATATTTTAATCACAAGTTTACAAACTGAAGATTTAAAAAAATTCCAAACAGTACAACTGAAAGGAATATAAATTGGCCTTTACAAGCTGGGTTGCCTTTTAATCGCCAGGTGTTAGGTCTTGTCACCGTCTGTGTAACCTAATCCTGTTTAGCTTTCCAGTCCTAAAGAACTCACCTTGACACTGTTGTTTGTCAAGGGTTGTACTGGTTGGGCCGTGCGCTGAAGAACTAGCTTATGCAAGATGACCTTCTGGCTGTTTCTCTGCTCCAGGCATTGCCAGTTATTATAAGTGCCTAAGCGGATCCTTTTTAGAAATGTACCATTCAGTGTTCCAAGGACACAGTATCTCCTCCCTGCTCCAACTCTCTGTCTAGTCTCTTAGGGGACAAGATGGGATTAAAAAGAGGTCGTTGCACATAGCATATTTCCTTCAAAATGTTTTCATTCCATCAAAAAGAAGCCTGCAAAAGGTACGCTTGTATTATAACCCTCCAATGCCACGCACGCTTATTCCCCTAGTATTGTCCAAGAATTGATATATGTTACCCATATTCTTTTCATATTTTAGAAATGTATGAATAGTCCTGGCTGCCAAGTAACTGTGACACACCTATTTTGTTACAGATGCTACAGCATGTTTTTCTAGCTTAAAATAATTTAAAAATGTAGACATTTTTGTAGTTTCTAAGTATGAAAAGTTCCTGTACCTTACACTCCCCTACTTATAAAATGAATCTACAGTAGAACGTGACTCTTATCCGTATGCAGGAATTTTACAACAATAACGCGCTTGCATATCTAGAGAAGCCATGGTTTTAAGGTAAAGCTAGCACACAACACTCAGACATGGTTTTGTATACTTACTTCATTTCATTTACTTGTCTCAGAATCTCATGCTGAGTGTTCACAACAGTATCCAGCTCTTGCTGAGAGATCTGGGGGAGAAACAAACGAGCAGCCAGTGCAACAGTCCACATTCTCCAGGAGCATACGGCACAGTACCTTCTTTCCCCCTCTCTCCATCAAAGGCTCACTAAGGCACCAGCTTATTTAGAAAGCTCACCTGTCCGTGCTGCCCTGGGATTCCTGCCCCTCTCTTAGAGATCTCCTCTGTCAAGGAAGAAACGTATTTCCTCTGTTCATCAAGAATCATATCTAACTGTCGGTTCAACTGCTTGATTTCAAGATGAATACGATTCTGTCCTTCAAAGATCTGTCTCAGCTCCCGATCTCCTACACTCTCAAATATTTCATCCGCTGAAATGGAAATTCAAGTTAGGATCACCTACACATATGTAGTTTCAGAAATACCATAAGTGACCCAAGTACCAACATGCACTAAAATTAGAACATCGCCGACACAGCGGTCACATCTCCCCAACAGTGAACATGCACACAATTATTTCAGTCGTGATTAAATTACTACTTGCTCTTGCCATCTCTGGTGGTTGAACATTTATTATAGATTTGGTCTCAATATTTTTCACCTAAAAATCATTTTCTCCTTCAAATATACTGTGTGATTCTATTTATATGAATGGGCAGAGCTAATCTATGTTAATAGAAAAAAGAACAGTGGTTGCCTCTGTGGGTGGGGTTTGACTTGAAAGAGGCATGAGGGAATTTTCTGCATACTGATCTGGGTGATGGTTAAATGGGTGTATGCATTTGTCAGAATCCATCAAACTATACTCTGAAAATTTGTGCACTTTACTTATGTAAAAGATTAAGAAATGGAATGCAAAACAGCTGATTTTCCTTATACCTGACCATGCTGAAAACATATCATTTTATTCAAATACTTACTATAGTAAGCTTTAGGATATACTAACAAATCACATGGGATGTTTAAAACAAATCCAAGAAAAGAATAAAATGTATCTTTCATTGTTAGTTTCATTAAGTCTGAATCATACTGTTGATGACTTAGAGATTCACACACTACAGAGAGAGTACCACTGTGCTGATGGGGAACAACCCAGGTAACAAGTTAGCAGACAAAAGTCCCTCTGCTTGGCCTTAACATGTCTTATTTTTGACACGGAGCACACTTAAGTTCTTAATTACAGTCACTTAGACTAACATTTTAAAATCCTCAGCCTTTAAAGCCCAGTAAGGGGAGGAGAGCCAGATAACCACTTTACATTACTCTCACAGGGGTGTTGATGGTTTTCAAGTATTATCTCTATAGTAATAAGGTAATCGTGAGCCACTCAAAGGAAAGAAATAAACCTTGGGTGATTTCATTCAGCAAATATTTAGTGAGGCTCAGCTACACCTGCACAGCATGGTCGTTGTTTTAGGTTTAGGGTTCACAGCAGAGAACACGCCAAGTCCCAGTCCTCACAGAGCTCACAATGCTGGGGTCACTGTTCACCCGTGTCCCCATGGCAATCCTCAGCACACTCACTAGAGCACATGCTTACTGTGAAAACAGCAATCTCTAAGTCCTTTAAAAACTGAAGATTCGCTCACAAAGTGTTCCCAGAAATTACGCGGAATGTGCCCGATAAGAGAGACAGGATGAGACGGAGGAAAGGTGAGGGGACACACAAGTGCCACGACTCGTGCTGCCGCCCCGAGGGCAGTGTCACTACAACTCACCAGGTTGCCCCTGCAGGTCAGGGTGAACTTTCTGGAATTCCTCTTTTTTTTTATCCAGTTCTTGTTGAAAGTGCTCAAATTCCTCTTGATATTTTTCTTTTTCTTTTTCTGAAATTTCTTTATCTGGTGTAGGCTTTTTTGGAGTTCAAGAACAGATCATTAAAAAATAAATTAAATAGGTAAGAAAATAACAAACTTTAATGTGTTCTTTTCACATTTTAACTACTTTACTACTAGTTGAAAGGTTAACATAAAAATGTTGTTATTTAAATCATGACCAATTTACTCTTGCTACTAATAATTACAACAGAAAATAATAGCCACTACCATTTATTGAGAGCTTGCTAGAAGTGCCCTGCCTTATCTGATGCTGACAAACCTCACGAGATGCCAGTACAGCATCTGAGTGTACCAGTCAAGAAATGGAGTGTTACAGAGGCTAAGCGACTTGCACACGGTCAGATGGCAATAACTGGCAGAAACAAGATCTAAACCTGTCAGTCTCCCCAAGCTTTCAGCTACGAGGCACTACCACTAAGCTGAAAATAAACTTTTTGAAAAAACTGTTTATACTTACTGGCTCTTTCCCAGGCTCAGTCAGTTGGAAAGTCAGAAAAGAAAGGACATCGTGGTCATCTACAAATTATAAAAAAAAAAAATCTGAAAATTCCTTAATAGATTATTTTTATGGTTGTGAATTTACTTTACAGGTATCTATTGTGTTAAAAAATAAAATGGGAAATAACAAAAATTAGCTCTAATTTGTTAAACACAATGGTGCTGTGAGCTTAGAGATAAAAATTCACCTGAAAAATTTAATTAGAAATTAGCGCAAGTTCACTTTCTTACATCCTAACCCGAACATTGAGCAGTGTTTAACACATAACAGAAGCTTTAACTAAATGTCTGATAAACAAACAGATAAAGGGTCTGAACAAGCCTAAACTCCCCACACTGGCACCAAGACCCTCCCATTTTCCCCCACAAATCTTCACAGACTATGTCCCAGCCAAACGAGACAAAAATCCTGTCCGTCATTATTTGCTGTACCTATCTGTCTGTGAACCTTTCTCACAGCACTTGCCACTTTCTACCTTACTTTCTTTTAGAAACATGACACTGCTCTGTCCTGGCTTACTGGGACAGTCCTGATTTATCCACGTTGTCCTGGCATTATTAATAGTAGCTCCTTTTACTCTCAAAGCATCCCATTAGATAATATAATTACTCTCTCTATACATCACGCAAATTTGTTTCCCTCGCATAGCAGATAATAACAATTTTATTTTATCTAAAATTATATAAGAAATCAGATTAATTTCAAGCTGTTGAAGCTGAAAACAGGAACCTGGCACATCAAACTTTGTAACATTGAACTAAAAATACCAATCCTGACTAGTCACAGCCACAAAGTAAAAACAATTAATTCCAATTGTGCAGCAATCTCTAAGCTTTCTGCCACTACTGTGGAGACCTAGATATGTGTCCAGATTAAAGAGAAAACTGTAATGCTACAGTGTCGGTCAGGTAACTTCAGGAGAAGTTGTGCAGAATAGAGCCCTGGACCCAGGAGCCAGAAACCCTCTTCCCCGAGTCCTGCCTCGGTCTGACCATTACTGGTCACATAATCTTTAGAAAGTCCTTTAATCCAAGATTTGGCAAACACATCTAAAAAAGGGGTAAATATAATCTATCTTCCCTCACTCCCTTCCTGTGTTGTTGTAAGGGACAATTCATATATTTGAAAATAATAAAATTACATAATGTACCATATAACCACCAGACAGTATTAACGTCAAATGGTAAGTTCATTTATCACCACATATGGAAGAAACTGTGGTCAATCTTGTTTAAAGGTTAGTCTCCAGTCATATTTCCTCAGGCTACCAAATGCATTTAAATGTGCTGTGACAATTCTCAGGATCCTAAAACATTTTGCAATTAATCTTTCAGTCTCAACTTTAAATGCCTCCTTCAAAATAAAATAGCACCAAAAATGATGCTCTAATTTACCTAACTGTACACAGCCCCAGCCAACCGGACACCTGTAGAAGTGGAGAATCAGCAGTTCCAAGAGACCAAAAGACTGTCCTCACAAGCCAACTAATCTTAAAATGTTAAAAGTAAACAAGTCTCCAAAATGCACTATTCCCAATAAAACTCAATTCACAAACTTTTAATATCAAAAGATAGCAAGATTTACCTGCAAGACCTCCAGTTGCAGCAGAGATTCCAAAATGCCCTTGTGCAGGGATAATCATATTTTCCACTTTGGCACAAAACTCATAATCATTTTTATCTGGTGTGAAGCCATTATTGATCATTACCTAGAGAGACATACCGTAGCTATAGCTTTTACAACAGACATTGTAAAAGGGATTTCCAATACTATTTGATCTTTATATCTGGTCTAATAACCAACTATCAGCTTTCTCTCATTATTATAAAGGGTAATGCCTTGTCCATTAAGTAACCTCCCTTACTTGGTACATTATACAAGATGTTTCACTTAAGAAAACAGTTTTTGCCCCACTACGTGTCAAAGGCTTAAAGAGAAAAATCTGGTAACTTTCCATGAAAATCTTTCTAAAATAGAATATGGTTTGCCTTCTTTCAAGAACACTGAGGAACCATGGCTACTTTCTTTGAATGGTTTGCTCGGAATAGAGATCAGACTTGTTCTGAAGCGTAGTGACAGAGCTGAAACGAATAGGCTGAATTTACAATGTTTACCACAGCTGGCTGAGAATGAAACAGACTGCCTTAGCAAACAGTGAACTCGCCTTCATTAAATTGGGAAGGTAACTGGGCTTGATAAGTTAGCAGAGAGACAGCAAAAGTGACAGAAGTCATAATGGGAAAAAAGGCAGAAAATGAAAACACTATAAAGACACATACATTTCTATTCTGCAGAATGTATTTTTGAAGTAATGACCCTAAAGATCTTAAAAGGCTGTTGGATTTCTAAGAAAGCACAGGAATCACTCTTGTCATGGTCCCAGTCAGGCAGCGGTCTCGCCTCTTCAATGCCTTTCACTTCCAGCACCCCAGTCACCGCCCCACCCTAAGCAAGTCACTGAGATTGACAATGGAGCAGGAGGAGGTATATGGCACCGTCAGGGCACTTCTGTCACTACTGCCGGTGCAAAGTTCTGTCAGTTGTAGTGAAGATGCAGTCACACAGGAAAATGTTACTCTGCCCAAATTTTCAGCAAGAGAATAAGACGTCTGTCAATACGAAGGGTCCATCTCTATATAATGTGGGATGCAAGCGTGTGAACTCCTACCAGTTTTTAAAGACCAGCCATTTGGTTGACTAATATTAATGCTTGTGTTTCCCTGATCGGTTTTTGTTTACACCATTTACAACTGGTTCTCCTCTACATAGTCACTCACATCAGAATCGACAATTGAGAGCTAAAAAACAAGTGTTAAGTTAATCACATTTTAATTCCAACACTAAAAACTTTCAACTATTCAGTACTTTTTCCCTTGAACCCCAACAAACTGAAAATCCATCAGGAGGCTTTATTATCTACTTCTAATTCTTGAAAAACATGTGGGGGGCAGGTGGAATACTAGTCATTGTACTGAGTCTGGAGGAAAGTTGGTGACTGACAGGTACAATGTCCACTGATAAATACCAGTAACCTTTCCTCATGATGCCATCCATAATATCCCTATTTATCTTACAGTTTCAACCCATCTTTAACTACTACACTTGCAGTATTTCAAATCTCTTGTTTTGACTGTTTCCTCCACTAACAGCACTTCTCGCTCCCCTTACTTTGTTTTTCCCTCCAAAGTTTAAGCCCTGGGACAAGCAAAGGGTGTAAGGACTAATTTAACACATTGTTTGCGGGCATTTTTCTCTATACGACGAGTTTACTCGTTTCCCGCAAACAATGTGTTAATAAACATTTCCTGGGTACCTAAAACGGGCACAACACAGGGGCCGTGAGGGACGCAGGATGTCATGCCTGCACTGAGAAGTCTACAATGATATCAGTGAGGAAAGACATACAAACCACCGTTAACCAGCAATTCCATACAATGTATTTTAAAGGCCAAATAAGCATTAGAGAAATGAAACACTGAGTTTAGGAGAGCGATCACTGTGAGCTGATGTTTGGGAAATCGGATGGAAAGGGGATCTGAATTAGTGTGTTCAAGGATGAGTGTGAAAAATAAATGAATGAATGAATGAATGAGTGAGACTGCCAGGTAGAGCTGGGGAGGGTCTCCCAGGAAGGGACAACAGACTGAGCAAACATACAAAGGCCAGAACCATTAGTCAGGCATGTGTCCTACCCACCAAGTCTGTCTGAAATGTATTCTTCAGAACACTAGCTCTACAGACACTCATAGAAATTAGCTGAAAGAAAAATCCCACGGTCAAGCAAGTCTGAAGAATGAGGAGTTTAAGAAAGGTTTCTCTATTTCAGGACTTCCCAGTATCTTAAATGCGCTAACATGCACAGTCGGGCCCAATCTCATCTGACTATGGAACTCGTTTAGGAGCACATTTTGCAGGACTATTGTTTTGGGAGCTGCTGGTAGGGCTCACAGCCTCACTACGCTGGGTCTGGGTCGTGGAGGTAGGCGGCCTCCCTGCGGTCTGTGAGCTCAAGTGTGTGTCTGCACTTGCCACGGCTGGTGGCTGGGTTCTGCCACACGAGGTTAGTATGACTGATGACCCTCCTGAAACTGCAGGATGTATCACTACAGTGGAACTCCAATCCAAGTCAATCACAACAGACTGGCACATCCTCTATTCTGAGATCTCTCAATTGATTTGGAATTTAAGACTGAGCCAATACAAAGATTTCCCAAGACCTGCCTTTTCCAGGGTTTTATACAAAGAAGTGCAAGGCTAGCTCATGATTTAGGGGAAAGAAAAATTGATACAAGGTATATTTTACTTTTAAGTATTCTATAACCAGATACTGATGGTGTCTTTAAAAAGCAAAGTTCCCATAGTATTAGGAATCTTAGTTATTACTGCCAGCTGGATACATCCACCTAAATATCAGCCGAAACGCAATCTGTCTACAACTCAACTCACTACCAACCCTCTGCTTTCCTGCTCCTCCTCAAACACAAACAGATGTGCTGCTTCTTGGCTAGTTAGTGGTAGCACTTAGTTGTACCACTGGCCAGAAATTCAGGAGCTTTCTGTCTCCACAACTCGACTCACCCTCCCACCCCCAAGCAATCCACTAGTAGCTCCTGCAGTCTCTACCTCCTAATCGCCTCTCCTCCACCTTAGTTCAGACAAGTATAACCGTGCAGTTAAGATACTGCTGGGTTCCAATCAGTCTGTTACATCTTTGGTACATGATCCAAGTTAGTTAAAACTTCCCATATTCAATTTCCAAATACATAAAATGGGGATGCCCACACCAGGGCTGTTGGAAAGGATAGAAGAGAAACTGCACGTGAAGTATTAAGCACGGGGCGTGGCTCTTTAAAAGGGGAGGAGTCTAAGAGGTCGTGTCCTTTGCTCCTTTCACAAATGCCAGTATAAGAAAACTGCTGCCTAAGCACTTTTCCTAAATTGCAAATCTGATCATTTCAGTTTCCTGCTTAAAACTCCATGAACGCTTCCTTTTAAGATAAGCTACAGGAGACCTAGGAGACTTGTTTACAGCCAACCTTTCACCTCACATCTATCCTCCAGCCATACCAAACCACCTGCCTTTCCCAAATCTGTCACAGTCCCTAAGCCTGTTTTCTCTGCCTGGAATACGCGCCCCATCTAGGGAATTCCTACTTCCCCTTCAAGGCGCAGCTACGCTCTGAGAAACTGTTCCTGACCTTCCCCACACCCACCTGGCAGTTACATGGTTCTCACTAACCCATTGATTTCTTAATGGTGTCTGGGTTGTAGTATTTATCACATAGCATAATAATGTTACATAAGTGTCTCCACCATTAGACTACAAGCTCTTTGGAGAAAAGCACCTTTGCGTTACTCATATTTATATTTTGAAGGCTTGGATATGTACATAATGTGTGGCAGATCGCAGGATGCTTACACATTTACTAAATGCAAACCTAGTGGCAAGGTTTTACAACACATGACCACTTACACCAAGCTTTGAAGCCACTTCTGTCCTCTCAGTAACACTGATTAAGTATAGAAAAAATGTCCAAATTTAAATGCATTTAATTTCGATCAAAGATTCAAACTGAGAAGTCATACCAGACTGCTGTTCACTTGACTGTCCCTAAATGCATGTTACTTACTGTTAGTGTCTTCTGGTAATATAGAATTTTTGCCCGGACAGGGTAGGGTTTGTTACGGAAGTCCCTCTGGCAACTTGCTAAAGCTTGATTAGCACCATCACTACAGTAGGAGGGAAAGGAAAACAAATAAGAAACTTAAGCTTTGCAATATTTAAAAACTCACTATTTAAAGTGATTAATGGCTAGAAAGGTTACAATAGTGTTGAGGTATGACAAAGTCTTGGGATATTTGGCTATTTATTCAGAAGACACAAAGTTGACGCATGAGTTTTTCCTGTGAGTCTTGTCAGGACTCTGGATAACATTAGGAGCCACTGTTGGCAGGGGCAGTCACACGACCCTTCAAATGAGACCAGAGCAGCAGTCCTTTACCTGGCACAGAGTCAGAGTCATAGATGGAGCTTTAAAAACGCAGACTCCTAGGTCCCACTCTGAATCAACTGAGGCAGAGTCACGAGAAGGCCTTGGCAACTCTATTTTAAATAGCTCCATAGGTAACTACCAGAGTGAAAAGTTACCAAGGTAGGAAACGTAAACAGGATACGGATAAGTAATTTCCTTACAGTTCACTGGATGGCTGGAAGGTAATTCCTCCCACAACAAACATTTAAGAATGAAAAATGTAGATACCTAATTCATACACATTACAAATATACTAAATACTTAGAAGCTTTGTAGCCCATTGAAAATCTTTAAATACAGCAATACTAAGGTTGAATAAAGTAGCATACATTTCTTAGTCATTAGCTTAGTCAAGGCTCTGAACTTTAGTTTTGAAAGACCTTTTTTAATAAAGATGAAAACACATGACTATAGGCATCACTGAGAGCCAGGAACATTTTATAAACATTTTAGAAGTATTATATAAATTTTAGGTTAAATAAAACAACACATTTTTATATTTGAATTCTGAGGTGGCCCACCGAGAGAACTTTAAAACAGAACCAAATTAAAATAAGACCTTTCCACCAAGCTAATGTCATTTCACCTGGAAAATGTTCAGATTTGAAACAATGTATTTTATAAGATTTCCAAAAAGAAGCTGAAATCAGGAATAATGTAAAAAACACACACTTACTTTTGATGGTCATAATGGATTTGTCCATTGTTGCCTATAATTACTATAGCAGGATTATTTTTCTGAAAATAAAGAGAATATATTTGTTTTAAAATCCTTAAATCAAAGAATTCTAGTCATTCTGGATGTGCTATAAGCTCTCTTAATCTCTAAAATTCTAAGACTCAAATTTCTTAAATAATTAATAAAAGAGATGTCCACTTACTTAGAAAAGAATTATAAACCCTTACAATCATTCAAAACCAGTCACTTAACACCTCAGTGAAGACTGATGTGTTGTGATGTGCCTGGTCTTTGAATAATCCGCCCCAACATGTATCTGAGGACACACTGTGAGCACGGGACAAGTGTGGGGCTTATGGAAGCTAAGTAACATGGCTTCAGCACTCAAGGAGTTATGCCAAGTTCTCCTTTAAATTGCTAATAATCACCCCAGTAGAGAAACTACCAACTGAAACTAAGATCGACCTTAAGGCTGCTCAAGTGCAACTTAAGGTTTCCGATTTGTTAAGTACATTTTGTTCTTAGCTGTTTTATTAACAGGAGAGATCAGGGAAATTGGCTGATCAAAACATGATTAAGATATGAAAAGATATTAATATGTGAGCTAGCAGCAGTCATGCACATGGGTATTTTCATGAAAACAAACTATAACAGTCTAAACACTACTGGTTTCACTGCCTACGTCAAAATGACGCATGTTTATCCATCAAAATTAGTATGTACATACAAGGTGCTGGGGATGGGGGCCTTGCAAATTCGCAGTTAGGGCTCCATGATGACCTCAAGGTGGAGTATGACAAACCATGAATTCAGAGCTTTAAATTTATAAATTCCCAATTATATGAAGACTAATCATCATACCTAATTTGGGGAGTTCTCTACTATTAAACTGACAAAAGTGTTAAATAAGCTGTATGTCTCACAGCTTAAATTTGTTAGCAGATGTATTAAAGTGGGCAACAGTCCTGACAATAAACATACCTTTCCATCATTGTCAAAAGAATCAAAGAATATTCCCACACCATTCCACATATCAGCTGATCCAAACACAGGACCATCCAACCCTTGATTTTCTGTGTACCAAATTGCCTGTAAATATATAACAGGGGACATTTAGGGGCTGGTGGTATATGCATTTATATATATTTTCTAAGTTAAAGAGATTATCATACCAGGCCATCAGCTCCAATTCGACCTCTTCCAGTCACTCGAAATGTCACCTCAATTTCCCAGTTCTCAAAGGCTGCTTTTGTCTTTGTCCACACAGATCCTCTTTGGCTTTTTAAAGATGGTGCTATTCGAATTTGATCTGAACTTGGAATAGCATCTAGAACACAAATCAGGGAAGAAAAGCTTTAAGTTATAATTAGGTAAAATTCAATGAATCATCACCAAACTGTTACATACTTAGAGAGCTAATTTTAACTCAGTAACCTATACAATAATTTTGTTATGAAAAATTTCAAGTTGAAAGTTTCAACTTTTAAATTTTAGGGTTTTCTAACACTCCCCTCCCCCTATCTTTTGAATAGTGCAGTATCGCTGCAAAAAATAAAAAAAATAAAGCTGTAACCATACACTAAAAATTTAAGGGGGAGGAGGGAGAAAATTGTGGCTTAAAAGGCAAACTGAATATTTGATTCTCATATTATTTTTCAAATGCCTCAAAAATTAGCATACTATTTTTTAAAGACTGTGATGTATTTCACTGATTTACAGATGTTAGAAAGCTCCAACAGTGTGAAAAAAACATACCACTAGGAATCAAGAGACTTATTCCTACTCTCAGTTCAGCTGTGTGACTTAGAGCAAATAATTCTTACTCTCTTGGGCTCACCATATGTTCACCTGTAAAATGTTCCATAAACACCCCAAAAGTTATATGCAAAGTTTTGTGCATATATACATTCTTCTAGGGAGAAAGCCAACTGAATTTCAAGTCAATAAACAGTTCTTCAGCATCAGTAGATTCTCAGAGAGAAGTGACCCTCAAAATGGTGGTGTGCATCTCCAAGCTAAGTTTAAGTCCCAGTTCTATCACTTACTAGCTGTTTGATCACAGGCAAATTAACCCACTTCTCTAACAACCTCATAGGCATATAAGTGCCTACATAAGTGCATATAAATATCTCAGTAAACGTTAGCTACCCCTATTATTGGACTAAATAATTATTAAAGGAACTATAAGGCCTAAATTTGAACATTTCTAGTACACCCTCTCAGACGTTAACCAATTCTGACATGCGTGCTGGGATATAACTGCATTGTCTCTTTATAGGTAGAAAAAACTTGACAAAAAGAAAAGCTGAGACACTTTAGTAAGATCAGTCACTGTCACCATCATTTTCAAACACTTAAAAGGTTGGGGGCAGGCATCCTGGAAAGAGTCCTGGATATTGAATCAGAAGACCTGGATTTGAGTTCTATTCTACAGACACTAACTGTGTAACCTTTTCCAAAACCTTAACCTTGCTGAACATCAGTTTTTTTAAATCTATAAAACAGATAACACCTGCCTTGCCTACTAAGGATCAAATCAGAATGAAGGTGAAAGAGCTCTGAGAGCTATAAAGGGTTACAAATTGTTATCATTTTTGTGCCCTTATGGACCCAAGGGTGTGTACTGACAGTACAAAAGGACATTAGATAGAGTTAAGGAAAAGAAACACCATAGAATTGGTCCTAATTTGGGGATAAATGTAAAGGGCCGTGTTTAAACTAAATCTTAAGTTTCTCTACTTTTCAAAATTGTTTTGAATAATGGGTCTCAGGGCAAAATGAAAAGGTTTTTAAAAACCATCAATGGAGTTAAGAAAACAGTGTGACTGTAAAAATTACAGTGACAATGAAAGCAAGGAAAACCCGCAGCAGTGATTCTCAGAGTCGGGAGACGGAAAGGTCATGGCTAAAATACTGATCCCTTCATTTCAAATTCAGTCTAGCCATATACAGCTTTAATTCACATAGATATGCTATCTGATGTTTCTACAACAAGCTTAATTGGTTATAGGCTCTGTAAAGAAAGTCAAGGTAACTAATTGGTGTAGTTGATTAACATGCCTCATCGCCTGAGTATATGGTGTAAGCACGAAAGATAAAGAAGAGCAAGCAGGCCACGGGGAGAAGCAGAAGTGAAAAAGTGTGAATCAATTCATCACCACTACTGGAAAACTCATCATTCCAAAAAGAAAAACAAAAAACCCCAAAAACTTGTGTTTGGCACTTCTGTATCATCTTTGTGTATGAAGAACAGAACCTCGATCACAAATGCCCAGGAACGTACCCTGGATGAGTGGGCACATAACTCATGTCTGCTGAGTAACAAAATAATTGCACTCCACTTCAAATACTTAATGACTTGGTCATTAAAGTCAAATTGAAATTTGTACCTTTTAATTAATGATACACTAATGTCAGGGAAATAGCCCTTCCTAGAAGTGTGCTTTCTAGTCAATAATTACTTTCTAGAAATGGAACATTGTGTTTCAAGTATTGAACAGTCTAAAATGATGTATACAAACCTTATGATATAAATGATTTCTTACTTACACATAAAGATGGAATTCAAAGTGCCAGAGCTTCTCACCTCATGTAAAGGAACTTGCTACTTGTTTCAAAGGGTACATCTCATGGTCACTGAACAGTGCTTACAACATGTCAAGTGCTACGGCTGATTCCTTAGTCAGCAGTGACACATCAGCACTAAAGTACAGATGTTTCTTTCACATATGCAAACGTCTAGCAAGGCAAGGCTCTTACCTACTAACAATGCCAAACACAGAGTGAATAAAGCATGGAGCACAGGTTATTTCAACTTTTGCAAAAAACTTAAAAAAAAAAAAGGATGTAGATAGAATGCTATTGTTAGTCTCAAGTTCTGAAACAACGCCAAAAAGTGTATCCCTATTAAATAAAAGGACAAGTATGACTACTATTAGTTACATAATGTGTTACGACAAGAGGAAAGACCGAAGACCACACCAAGTCCCCGAGAGAGGCACATTTAAGGTATCGTTTCAGTAAGGTGAGAAGAATGTCCTCGGACATAAAAACTTAAAAATTACACTAAAACCAACACATATCATCTCTAGAGCCGTCAGGGGAGGCATCGGGTACAAACTGGAACATCAACCACGGCTAACACCAGTTTAAAAATAAAAAATAAAAAAGCAGGGGAGGGCCGAGGGGAAATGGGAAAGGGGGTGGGGGTGGGGGTGGGGTCCGCGGCTTGAACAGGTCTCAGATTAGGACAGCTGGGGTTAGGGTGAAACGTGATGCCTAGAAACGAGTTTACGTGAGTGCTTGGAATTGTAAGAAGTAACAAAACACCTCCAGGCCAAACGGAAAGAACCGACGAGATCAAAGGAAAAACAGGAGGAAAAGGGGCCGGGCAGAATCGGGAGAAGACTGGGGGCAGGTGGAAGGAACCCTGCGGCTCAGAGCCGACCTGCAGGAGCGGCCGCTGAGAAGGGTCCCCCGCACCGCGCATAGGGTGTGTAGCGGGGAGAAGGTAAAGATGAGGAGGCGCCAGGCGAGGATGGGACCCGGGCCCCCCGCCCTCTGCCCCGGCTTACTCCCCGCGTGGGCCCAGAAGGGCACGGTCCCGTCGCTCTGCACCAGGTGCGGCCCCTTGAAGCTGTATTTGTATTCGAAACGGCGATGTGGCAGCGCGGCTGGGGTGTCCGCGACACCAGGGGCCGCGGGGTCTCCTCCCACGCCTTGGCCTCCGACGAAGTGACTAAGCGACAGCAGGAGGGCGCAGAAAAACGGCCGAGCTCTGGCCTGGGGACCCCTTTGCCTGGATCCCGCCATCTTGGATTCTGGAAAGCAGACGCCTGCGGGAGGGGGAGGGGCGCGGGAGCTGAGGACAGCCAACAGGGCGCTCGCTGATTGGTGGAACCCGAGGGTCCCCGAGGGCAAGGGTGAGCCCCGCCCCCGGTCTCCGCTATCCAGGCGGCCGCTGGACCAGGAGCATCTGCGGGCGGGGCCACGCCGCAAGGGGCGGGGCCTGGGGGCGGCGCGGTCCTTGCGGTCTTTGCGCTCCTCCGCTCCTATCCCGGGTCAGGAAAAGGACTCCTACTTTCCCTCCCCACGTGACAGCGAGTGTTGGAAGAGCCGACCCAATGCCTACTTGCAAGAAGCATTCTCCTGCCTCTTATATACGTTAGAGGTGGAACTCGCGAGCCCTAACACTTGTGGACCCACCACGTCAGTCCTTCCAGGCTGTAGTCAACCTTTCCAGTATTAGAAGAAAGGCATTCCTTTTTATGTGATACGAATTGTTCAGTAGCTGGTTTTCATTAGGTGTTCTTTGCAGAAACAAATCTTTACAGAAACAAAGCATAATCCCAGCCCATTGACCTCCACCTGCCTGTGTTAGGGCATTGAAAACTGGGAACCAGCGATCCACAGGGCTGCAGAGCCTTAGGATCGTTTTGTTGGTGTTGAATCAGGGGTTTCTATGCATTTGTCACTCAACCTTTACCTCTCTCAAAATTTAATTCTGAGGGCTAAGAATGATGGCCCAGGAAGCCAGGGGAGGCCCCCTATCTTGAACGATTTCATGAGCCCCTGCTGGCAGGCCAAGTCTGCCTATCTCGAGTTTTAGTTTCTGAGATAAGACCTTCACTCATTTAAGCCATCCTTTCCAGCTTTTGTTGCCTACAATGCTGATATCAGAGTTCCCAATGTATTGAGTGCTACTATGCGTCAGGCACTGTTCTGGGTGATAAACATACAATCCCTCATTTAAGAGAAAATTAACCCAATGTGTTCATTTACTATCAAGGCTTTGCTCTAGTTGTTTCATTCACAAGAAACAGTCCTTTTTCTCAAACTACATGTCTACCCTCCCTAAATTAACACGTTGGGCATCTTAACCGCTCTTCTAGTTTTCACCAATTATAAATCAGTGATGAAGCACCAAGACTTTGGAGTCAACTGGCTGTGAGTGAATCCTGGTTTTCCCCATGTGTGGCATTGGGTAAGGCGTTTAACCCCTCTAAAGCTTGGTTTCCACATCTAGATAAGGGAGGCTAATAACAGTACCCATGCCATTCCATTTTAGAAAGAATTCAGTGCCGGGTACCAATAAGCTCCCAATAAACAAGCTATTCCGGTGACATTTCTTCACTCTTCCACTGATAGCAAAGAGAAGCCTAACTCAGCCCCATTAAGCCTGTCACATCATGGTTGCATTTATCACAACACACAGTTCATTTGTCCTTCCCATCTCTTATTTTCTCCTTAAGAAAACACAGCCAGTACCGTCAGATTTGGACAGTGAATACTGAAGTATTTGTTGACTTTATATTAACATAAACTGCCTAATTTCTTTTAGGTACATAGCAGACATTTTATAAATAGCCTATTAATTTGGTATATTTTAATTGTATATGTTATGGTAGCTAGTCCTAATTAGTTTGCCAATTATAATTAAGTTTTCAATTTAATTTCTTCATGTTGACCTTTTAGTCAATGAAGTGAAAAAATATTGGTAAGAATTGCTTTGGATGCAATTTAGGTTAGGAAAGAGAAGGGAGAACAATGCTATATTTGACACAGTAGGTGTTGCTATCGGCTGCCTATGTATTAACATGTTATGTATGGGTTAGGTATCCATAAGCTACCAATAATATTTGTCTTATTTTGTCAGTGTATGTGAAGATACTTTTCTTAGCCCTGCTGGGTTTAGATAGACTGATTGACCCCATTTCAACCATAACTATATATTTTTTTACTTGGTAAATATAAAATTAGGGCTGACACTTGAAAGAAGATATGTTGCTTATTATAAAACAAAACTGTTTAATTTTTCACATATAAAAAGGTCAGCAACAATACACCCCTTTATACCTCCATTGGGATAAAACATCTTTCATTTCTTTGACAACCTTACGTCTCAATTAAGAGGGGTAATGGGGGATAATAAAAGTAGGCAGGAGAACAGAAAGCAAAAGAAGAAAGAAATGTTTGGATGGGGAGGACGATGATCTTATCTGAACTATGATATCCTGTACCATTTTGAGCACAGAATAAATATTTGTAGATATTGATTTCCCCATGCAAAATGACAAAGGACAGTCAAAGGGAGGTTAAGCAAAACATTTAAACTGGGATTCAAAGCCAGGCCCAAAGAAAATGGGCGTGCGCACAGATAGGCAACAATCGCAGCCCTCCACTACATTAAAGAATTGAACCAGCGCTTTTAGGGGCTTTTTTATCCATTTCCTTAGTGTAGGGGTCGGCAAACTTTTGAGATGGAAGAGCCAATCCTGTCCCTCTCAACAATTTAAAAATTATTCGAGAGCCATAAAACAAGTGAAATCACCATTATGTGAATAATACCCTTTAAAAAATTTATAAATGAAACTATGATAGTCTTATTTTCATTTTCAATTTTACTTCAGAGCCACATGTATGTACCCAAAGAGCCGCATGTGGCTTGCCAGCTGCAGTTCGCTGACCCCTGCCCTAGAGACATGGTCTTTTACACACATTTCGAATGCTGGAGCATATTCAATATGGAAGCTCAAAGAAATCTCAGTGACATGCGAGGCAATAATAAAAACTTCTTGTCAGCTGCTGGCTAGCTCAGTAAGTAAAGGATTTGTCTATCTAATCCTTTCAAAATGTTCCAAGTTGTGACACCCATGGCCAGACGACACTGGAAAGACAGCACTGTCAATAGTGAACCTCCAGCAATGCAACTCTCCCACTAGACAAATGCTTCAAGCAATTTAGGTCAGAATTAGGGGTTTCTTCCTCTCCTCTCCCCAAAACAGCAAGCATACATTAACACTGGGTATTATTTCAAACTCAAATAATTGGAACGTAGGATATTTTACTCAAATCAGAGTTGGGCTGAAATTTGCCAT